TATCCTCTTGTTCCTTGTTCTTTCTCTCTCTTTGGCTTGTTATTATAAGATAAGTGGGTGCATGTAGTTAGGTGTCATTGCTTTAACGATATCAATTAGCCTTGGAAGTATTTTGTGCATTTTTCCTGAAGGGTAACATTGGACAGTAATGTCGTATGGTATATTTTTTATGCTTGTTTACTTAAATATAATAATTTTAATCGCATGTATATTTCATGCAGGGTATTAGTTTTGAGCTTGATGATGAGATGGTTGCGGAGGATGATGACAGGGAAGTATTGCAGGAGATTATCAACAATACCAAGCTAAGTGAAGGTTATCTTACTCTTGCTCGTGATATTGAGGTCATGGAGGCCAAAACTCCAGAGGATATCTACAAGGTTTGAACTTCTGATTATTTGTAATGCTTGATCTACACTGATATGCATGTCTACAATGTTTGTGGGATGTGTAGTGAGAGAAAATAAATGCAGTATAATTATATTTTGTTCATTGCAGTTGTGTAATTTATATCATCCTTCTTATCCCTTTTCTGATAATTATATTGTATTGGAATTTTCATTTAGGCACACTTACTTGATGGCCGTGCAAGTGCTGGTGCTAGTGTAGATTCAGCAAGACAGAACTTGGCTGCAACATTTGTTAACGCTTTTGTAAATGCTGGATTTGGTCAGGTAAAATTTTTTACACTTGATGTATCTGTTAAAAAGTTGACGATTTTTGGAGTTGATTGACATGCAGTCTTTGATACTTCTTTTTGGTGCAGGATAAGTTGATGACAGTCCCATCAGATGCCTCAAGTGGAGGCTCTTCAGGAAACTGGCTTTTCAAGAATAAAGACCATGGGAAGACCAGTGCTGCAGCAAGTCTGGTATGCATGACTATATTACCTTGCTCATTCTTGCTCATTTTATCATCTTAGTTTTAACTTCATTTTACAATATTCTTTGTTATTCTTCTTGACAGGGTATGATTTTATTGTGGGATGTTGACTCTGGACTCGCCCAAATTGACAAGTACTTCCACAGCAACGATACCCATGTTATTGCTGGTGCATTATTAGGGGTTGGGATTGTTAATTGCGGTATCAAGAATGATTGTGATCCTGTGCGTACCTCTATCTTTTCATCTACGGAATATAACATTTGAAATGTATCTCTGAATCTTAATTCCTTTTACAGGCGCTGGCACTTCTCAACGAGTACATTGATAGAGAGGATCCATCTATCCGAATTGGTGCTATAATGGGCCTCGGGATTGCATATGCTGGTTCTCAGAATGAGCAGGTAAAGTTTCTTGGCTTTTCCTTGATATATCTGGCAGGCCTCAGAAAATTTTCCATTTACAATGGGCCTACTCTATGTATCATTCTTGGCTCAAGAATCACATGAGAAGAGTCGGTCAAACCTTCTTTAATCACTACTGCCCTTGGATGTGCTGATGCAGGAGTTTGTTAGTTTGGTTAGAGTCTGGATTGATCTGTTGTTATACGTTAATTTCCATTTAAAGCTAACTTATCCTTCTTTTTTCAGATACGTAGTAAGCTGACTCCTATACTTAATGATGCAAAAGCCCCCCTTGACGTGGTTGCATTTACTGCAATCTCATTGGGGTTGGTATACGTTGGTTCCTGCAATGAAGAGGTTGCTCAGGCAATCATATTTGCACTAATGGATCGAAGTGACTCCGAGTTGGGGGAGCCCCTTGCTCGGTTGATTCCCCTCAGCCTTGGACTTCTGTTCCTTGGGAAACAGGTAAAATCCTGCTGAACTTTCTGGAATTCATTGTTTATTCTTTCTACTTTTTACAAAATCATGTGCTTTTCTTTCCTGCATGATTTTTGTTTCGTTTGATGTTTGTTGTGCAGTTTAAGCTTGTTTGTTAATGTCGTTGTGCCCAAAGAGGCTCATTACAATGTTGAACTCAATAGTTCACAATTCTAATGGTTTTTGGAATTTACTTTCTCACAGGAAAGTGTGGAGGCCACTGCCGAAGTTTCAAAGACATTTAATGAAAAAATAAGAAAGCATTGTGATATGACTTTGCTTTCTTGTGCTTATGCAGGAACAGGCAATGTTCTTAAGGTAATATTTTAGGGAACTATTATTTGCACTCCAAAAACCTAATTGTGCACTCCTTATAAGAGTATTTTTCTTATTAAATAAAGAAAGTTTGGAGTGCACAGTTAGAATTTTGGAGTGTCAATAACACCTCCTATATTTTAACGCTACTAAAATATCATCTGAATTCTGCCACGTTTATGAAGTTGGGAACTCTTTTCTGATTAAGGTGGAAACTCTTTTCTCATGCAGGTCCAAAACCTTCTTGGTCATTGTTCACAACATCTTGAGAAGAATGAAACTCACCAGGGACCCGCAGTTCTTGGAATTGCTATGATATCAATGGCTGAAGAATTGGGAGTTGAAATGGCGATTCGTTCATTAGAGCATCTTTTACAGTACGGAGAACAAAATATCCGTCGGGCAGTTCCGTTGGCACTTGGTCTCCTTTGCATATCAAATCCAAAGGTATTAATCTGGTTACGTCCATTTTGACAGTTAAAAACCCTTTAAAAGTAAAACTTTTACTTCCAATGATAGCTCAGCTGCCCTTGAAATCTAGACCATTCATGTATCGAGAGTTGGAATAGACATGGAACAGTGATTTTTGAAATACTTATCTTGACTAGTGATTTTATGCTGGGAAGTTAAGCTACTTGGGTTATATTTGCCTTTCTTACTGTTCTATTTGGGTGTTTCTGCCAGGTCAACGTTATGGACACATTAAGCAGGCTTAGCCACGATACAGATTCAGAAGTAGCAATGGTAACATATTACAGCATTCAATATCTCCATTGTTGGCATATTTTTCATAGTAAGTGTGTCTAATATTCCATTTGGATTCTTCAGGCTGCAGTGATTTCCTTAGGTTTGCTAGGTGCGGGAACCAACAACGCTAGAATAGCTGGCATGCTTCGCAATCTTTCAAGTTATTACTACAAAGATGCCAGCCTTCTTTTCTGCGTAATACATCTTGAGTCCTATCTTTATGTTCATTCATTTTCCTTTTGAGTTTTCCAGCCTGCAGTTAATATATATCTTCGGCTACCGTCTGCAGGTGCGAATTGCTCAAGGTCTTGTTCATTTAGGAAAGGGTTTGTTAACTCTGAATCCATACCATTCTGATCGCTTCTTGCTATCACCGTGAGTAACGCAAATACACCCTTGTCATTACTACTGACAGAATGGCTCTCGGTGGCTTAGTCTAACATGTATAAATTATCTTTCTACTTACAGAACGGCACTTGCTGGAATCGTTACCGTGCTGCATGCATGTCTTGATATGAAAGCCATCATTCTGGCTAAATATCATTACATTCTCTACTTTATTACTTTGGCAATGCAGGTTGGTGTTTGAACACTTTCTTCTTTATACGTTGCTTTCCCCGGTAATTAGATTTGGTCTTTCTCACTATTGGTAATTGTTTTTCTTGTGCTAGCCGAGAATGTTGTTGACTGTGGACGAGAATCTCAAACCACTGTCAGTCCCTGTTCGAGTGGGACAGGCTGTTGATGTGGTTGGCCAGGCTGGTCGTCCCAAAACAATCACGGGTTTCCAGACCCACTCAACACCGGTTCTTCTTGCTGCGGGTGATAGAGCGGAGCTGGCTACCGAAAAGTATGAATTTTTCCCTGTAGAGCTTGTGTTTCACTGACTTGCTGTTTTACCGCTATGACACGCTAACAATTATTCATTTCTTACAGGTATATCCCCCTGTCTCCCATCTTGGAAGGGTTCGTTATCCTGAAAGAGAATCCAGACTACAGAGAAGATAACTAGTTAATCCGGTTCGCCCAACAAATGTCTGGAGAGTTTGTAATCTTATAATGAATGCCGTATTTTTCTTGGAAGCATGTTTTTAGCAACTGCATTCAGTGACTGTTGATTGTGTAACATGACTCTGTATTACTCTAGTTTTAATTACTCGTATACCCTTCGCTGTATCTGGTGAACTCTTCAAATTTGTGAAATCTCCCTTTCGAAACGATTGATAATCGTGAAGAATTTCACTTTGTTTGCTTAGTTTTGGACAAAACATGTTAGTGTGAGGTTGAGCTCAACCGAAGAAAGTTTCGGAACCCAAACACAAACTACGTTTACTCATTTCAGGTTTGGTTTGGGTCATTTTTTGGCAACCTAATGAAACCATCCAAGTTGTACATAAATGAGTTAGAGTTGGGTTGACCTTCCAGAGCGGTTACAAGTGACAGATTGTAAATTTTGTTGGAGTTAATCTATGTAGGTTCGAATCCTGATTCTCCCACTTGTTTGTTAAGAAAAATAGCTCAAGTCAATGTTCGATTACCAGGCTCCACGGGCCACGGCATTGAAGTCCCAATCAGCGGGTGACTGGGTCATGCGTGGATGCAAAGCTAGACTTTTAAGTTAGAAGTCCAAGATTTCATATAAGGAAAACACGGACGTGGTGGATGAACATCCAGCTTGCACTCTTAATAAGAGGAGGCCATAGCCTCATTTCTCAATGGAAAAACCAGATTAAGATTTGAGCATTAGTTTTGTACAAGTTAATTTCTCTCTTAGCGAAAGTGATTGATTGATGTCCTTGAACATAGAAAGAACATTGTTGAACATTGTCGAACGTAGATAAAGGTTCAGGGCCAAAATGGTAGAGGAAGATCAAGGACTTTGGAAGACTCTAAGGAAAATTTGAGTACTTGAATCTAATAGAAGACGCGACACAAAACCAAGTGCATTAACATTTTAAGATTCATATAGCCAACCCCACTTAGTAAGAAAAAACTTTGTTGTTGTTCTTGTGTTCACTCTCCGACACAGTCCACATCCCAGGATGGATACCCATTCGACAACATCCTTCACGTGTTCGCTGGCAACCAAAACCCGCTGATCTACGATTGACTACCTTCTCTGGTAAAACTTTCCTCAGAATAACAGCAACAGCAGCCAAAGTAACAGGTACATGGAATAATAATCATTTGAGGCTAGATATCGAAACATGCTGTAGCTGTTCGGAATGACCAGTGAAATGTTCAAGTAGAATGCTCATTCTCAATCTCCTTATCTCGAGCGCAAGCGAATCCATGCAAATACTAACATATATGTAGTTGATTACTCTCCTGTGCAGGACTAAATGCAAAAACTAGGCCTTCAAGAAATGAAATCTACAAAAGATGATCATGTCTTCACGTTGTCTGGGGCAGAATTAAGTCAACATTCCGATTTGGACACCGTTGAATTCTATCTGCCGTAAAGTGTCAGTCCACTGATCAATCCCCCGGCTGTGGAATCTGATTAAGCTTGCCGCTTCTGCTCATCTTCATCGTCATCAGAGTCACCACTCTCACGAAATCGTGGATTTTTCTCCTGTTGCAGCAAATAACAAATATATAAATTAAAACGCCAGTCTTTCCTTCTTTATACTTTTTGGTTTCAATAGTGAATGTACAATTGCCCCCGCGTTGCCATTTCAATGAAAGAGAGGAAACAGGAACATCAATGAACATGTGAACTGGAACTCTTTCGGTCATAGAGACGATATTTCATTGCATGGCAAACAGGTTGGCAATTGCAAATACCATATAAATTAAATTAAGAGGATTCAAAACGAATTGGGACATAAGTCGTTAGAAATTACTGGTCTAGATTCGAGATCAGAGCTCTTCTGCGATTCATAATCCGAGTTTCTCTTTGAGTTGTCATATGATTGGCGGTCATCATCTCGGTACCGCTTCCGAGGATAATCTGCTTTGGCAAATAAGTATCAAATTAAATCAGTTGTTCAAAAAAGTTGTCAACAAAAACGGCAGAAACGACTAGTACAAATCTAGTACACCAATCATAGAAATACTTTTAATAATTGATACCTCTGCGTAGGACGATGAGTACCCCCGTGATTCGGGCCTCCACCATGTCTACCATCTGAACGATTTAAAACTCAAAAGCGTTAAAAGAGGAACTCTATCATGTTTATCAATACACTAACTAAACTCTACTTTGCACCACGATAGCCAACAGTTATGTATCTCAACAGGCTCACCACTAAAAGTCTGTTGTCCCTTCAGATAATTGCATTCAATCCTGATGCAGTGCATGAATCTACAGGTTCTATTTGCAGTCGTGACACACAGATCAGTAGTTCTTCCACCCCACCCCACCCAAATTCCACCTCACTTATGTTTTGCAATATGAATCCAATGTCTATATTTTCCAGCACTAAGTTTTTCTTCGAACCATACTTTTTGCTGGCTATTCAAAATTTCCAAATACGAGACACCAAAATGCTAGAGAAATGAGACGTATTTCAATAATTAACTGACTTTTCGATCATGTGTGCACTAGTGAATAGGTAATAATTGAGTGAAATTTGGTATCATTAAAGTGGCAATTCCCAGACTATTCTAATCAGTAGCGGTTGGAGACAACCTGGGTGCGTTGCCTATTCCTATAGCTCACAACACAATGAAAAGTTGTTTGACCAACCAAGACATTTCAGCTTATAAAGCTAAGAAATTTCCCATTAGGTTAGGTCCACTCTCCATCTGGAGGATGCTTGGCTGCACCATTTCAGGTTAGGTTCTTTGCTAAGGATGCAGTTATCAGTACACAGTGCACCTGCAATCAACCTACTCTAAAACCCTAATGTAACTATATAAGCAAAGACAACCGCTCCAGAAAAAGACCCAAATCTCTTGAACTATACATAAAGTTTAAAGCTAGAAATAGATCAAACAGTTAAAGTAACTTACACTGAGGTGGCATGGCTTGAGGGAAAGAGCCCAATGATCCAGTTCCATAATCAACAAGTGTTCTTTGAGCTTCCAACTCTTGTTGAACTAACTTACCATATCCACCTCTACGTATAACATATTAAGGAAACAAAAGATAAATGTTTTTTTCATCTCGTATTCAATAATGCAGATTAAATATCCATCACCTGCTTTAATTTTTGAAAATGCTGTACTTTTTAAATAGAAAATTCTTCACAACCAGAAAGTGAACAGAAACACCACAAGTCAAATGCAAAATGGGTGCTCATAGCAACTCAAATACATATGAACCAGAATGATTTCGAATTTAAAAGCATAAATTAATTCTAAGCACATCATAAGAAAAGAAAAAGAGAAGTGGTTTACTCTGACTGAATGTCAGATAAAATTTAAGCCGCAAAGACCTACACAATTTATATCTTCTTTGTGCAACTCTAACAAAGTGGGATCAATAGATTAAACGGTTACTTGGGTGTCAAATAACAAAATGTAGATAAGCTTTTCAAAAAAATAAAAATAAGAAAATAGCTACTAGAGAATACACAAGGATAAAAAAAAAACATATAGTAGAGGGAAAAAAGGTATAAACTTAATGTCTATCCGCAAAAGAATAGCGAAACCAAACAGTAATTACAGTAGATATTGCTGACCTAGAACAGGAGATGGGTTGACCGAGTTAAAAAGTTCTAATTTGGAAAAGTTAAGACGACATGAGTCCGTAAATTTACGGAAGCACAGTAGTGCCATAAAGTACCCACTGATGAACTAATATCCATCACATTCATAATCTAAAATTAAGTAGGTACAGGTTCACAGGAAAGCACAACCTACAAGAATTTATCCACCCAGTAAATAGTCTCGAAGTAGAATATACAGCCCTGCACAGTTTTAAGCATATACAATGTGCTCCCACTCCTACCAATTCTCAAGTTTGTGAAACAGAAACCATGATAGAAAAAGAACTTGAATAGAAATTGAATGCAAAGGGAACTGCGTACATAAGTTTAGCATGGACAATCGACCAAGATTTGCAAGAAAAATAAAAGCTTGGCACCCCAGAGGAACAAGCAACACTATAATTTATATAGCATACTAAAGAAAGCTTTTCCAGACATTCCAAACTAATCAAAAGGATATCAGGATCATAATCAGTACGATACTCATCGCGCACCTGCAAAACAGAGAAGATAAAATCAAAACAATCAGAATGGTACATTTTTCCCATGACAAGAAAGCAGAGTAATCAACCTGTCCACCACTTCGCCCACGACCCCATTGCCTTCCCTCTTGAAATCCCCAATCAAAATCCACACGAATAGGGCGATCATCAAGAATAGTCCCGCTAATATACTTTACAGCATCCTCAGTATCCTCTCGAGAATAGTATCTGTTAATAAATGCATATAGATTAAGCATCTAACTCTCAGAAAGGGGGAAAAAGTGCCTTTTACTAATTCTCAACATACAGGACCAAGTTACATGGTACACATATCTTGACAAAGGCCGCTAAGAAATGATAAACTTCTGAAGCATAATAGAATCAATTTAAAGCATAACATATGAAGAGCTTCTCAGTTCTCATGATAAAACAAAAGATCCAATTTGGGGCAGGTACAATGTGCACTTCGACAAAATATAATGTTTGACACTTGCTAGCCATAGTTTTAGCAACAACAAGAATGGGGGCGGGAGTAGCTGCCTCTCGTCACCGCAACCTAAGGTAAATGACGCCAATCAGTTAATTCAAAATTGACTCTTAATAACCCCTAAACTTTTTCCTTGCAAGACATATATGTTAGTATTTGCATAACAGAATCAATTTAAAGCATAACATATGAAGAGCTTCTCAGTTCTCATGATAAAACAAAAGATCCAATTTGGGGCAGGTACAATGTGCACTTCGACAAAATATAATGCTTGACACCTGCTAGCCATAGTTTAAGCAACAACAAGAATGGGGGCCGGAGTACTGCCTCTCTTCACCGCAACCTCAGGTAAATGACTCCAATCAGTTAATTCAAAATTGACTCTTAATAACCCCTAAACTTTTTCCTTGCAAGGCATTAACAATATGAAGAAGAAGAAAAAGAGGACTGAAGCCTTACAGGACAAAACAAAAACCACAAGGGGTTTTGGTATTCTTATCCAAGCCCATAATTATCTTCTTAATTTCTCCGGCGCGAGAGAAGAGCTCGTAAACTTGCTCTTCTGTCGTGTAGAAGGACATATTCCCAATGTAAACAGTTGTTGATGCCAAGAGTGCTTGTTCAAACTCCTCTTGTGACCCCGGAAACCTTCTATCCCGGTACTGCGACAGCTTTGATTGGTCCTAACGAAAAAACAAAAAGAAGCCAAATGGCGAAAAAGGAGGTAAAGAAACGAGCGAAACAGCGGGTTCATAACATCCATGTCCAACCAGAAAGGATAAGCTGGTGTCTTCATCAGTTTTTTACATGATCAAAGCGCCAAATTTTAAGGAGCAATGCTGCAATTTATTTACCTTAAATAACGAAGCCATCGCGGGCTGCAACCGAGGGCAAATCAGGGAAGTAAATTTGAAGAACAATTGCAGAGTTATATCAAATCTGTAAAATAAAAATAAATAAAAAAAACTAATAAATTAGAAATAATCATAATATTTTAGGTCGGAGCAGACACAGAGACGGACAAAGTAGTCAAAACTAAAATTGCAGGTGGAAAGAAAGGAGAACATGAATTACAAAGCTCAGTCCAATACAATGCAGACTCAGAAATTCAGAATTACAAAGCTCACTTTTAAGAACAATCCCAATTCCCAGGTGGAGAGAAAGAGAGAGGAGAGAGAGAGTACCCAGGAAGGGGAAGGGGGAGCTTTGGCCTCGCTAGCTCGGGAGAGTGGAGGAGTGTAGACGGAGAAGGACTGGAGGTGGAGGAGGAGGAGGAGGACGACGACGACGACGACGACAACGAGGGGTGGCCCGGTTGGGTTTAACTTTACTTCCTTCTTTCAACTTTTGATTTAGAGCGTCGAGTGGATTCCCAAGTTCCGGACCGGGTCTGGGTCGGCAGCTTTTTCTTTGGTTCTTTAATTCTTATTTTATTTAATAAATGATATTATTTCTACTGAAAGGGAATGAGTTTAGCATCAAAATAGGTTAGTAATAATATGATTATGTTGACTTTAAAACTACCAAGTTTACGTGGTGCGCATGCCGAGTAACTAATAAGCTAACTACGTCCTTCGATTATGTGCGGGACGTGCCAACTTGTCGGTCGAGCTAACGTAGTAACATGTAACACCTTACCAAAAAGGCTGATGAGATGACTACAACCAATAGGGACTCGAAAATCCTTGTCAATCAAGACTTGGATAAATAACCAATCGGTCTCGAATGTGCTATTTATCCAAACTGAAGATGTCGCCGGTTGCTTTCACAGTGTTGTTTATCCAAACTGAAGATGTGTTGGCGGAAAAAGAAAATAAAAATCTTAAGGTGTTTAAGAGGTTTGGCAGTTTGTGTGTTGAATTGAAGGGATTTATAATGCCAGTACGCTTCATTGCCTATTGCTTACTGTGAGTATCCCGCGTGCAGAAGTAATATTCCTAAGAATAATCCCTCTTGTGTAAGCACTCCCACTTTTTTGGGATGTGATAATGCATGAAATCCCATCGATTTGGATAAATATGATAATGCAACTCCAATGGATATAATGCATGCAATTGCATTAAAACCAATCAACGCCTATTATTTGGAGGCAATTCAAACTAAAGGTCCAATCCAAGTGCCATGCATAATAATAGTGAATTATCATGTTGTGACCTAATCCAAACAGATTTGATGCTATCCTGATGCCAGTCGTTACCATGCACGACTCTTCACTTGCAGTTTCTCCTAATGTGGTATATCCCAAGTAGACCCGCATAAAGAGATTAAAGAGAGAAGTCCTCCTTCATTTCAACTCTTCCTCCACGCTTGCATTAATCTTTCTGCCAATTAATATCCATTTGCCAAGCCAAAAAACATGCATTAGGATAGAATCTCCATATTGCACAATTCTCTTGTAAATGGCATGTTTGGAATTATCCCCTTGCGATTAAAAACTTCAAAAGCTATCCAGACCAGGTGCATGTAATTTGATATCAAACTTCGAAAATAAATCCCCACAACCAGTCAAGCCTTATCTTCGATCTTCTAATCCGATAGCATTTCAATCTTTTGGAATCCTTAATTATCTCTGCACTTTATAAATAATTTTCAATAATTCCTCAAATAGCATCATGATTATTAAAATCATAATAATATCTAGACAAATTATTAATCAATCATCTCAATCTTCTTTCAATCCAACGGCTCAAAATTTTACTTGACACACCCCGATCGAGATCAGGGCATGCTGCCCGTCACGTGAAAGTGATGTAGCCATGTGCACAGTGCGGAAGCTAATAAAATAATAATAAAAATAATACGAATAAATAAAATCTAGCTTATAACACAAGGTAATAACATACATGTGCAAGCAAAGTGTGAAAACAAAGTTCAGAGCATGAAGACCTAATGCAGTCCGGGAGAAAATGACACTACAAAAGCACACCCGAAGGTGGTCTTACACTGGTGATAGTCTGTCAGATATGCCGGGGAAATCCTCGGGGAAGCCACCAAACGTGCTAGTCAATTAGAACCTGGAGGGGCGCAAAACAAAAGTGTGAGTGGGCAAAAACAAAGCTTTTCAAAAAAACCATTTCAAAACAAGTTCTAACCTCTCGCCGTAAAACCCGTATACTTCCCAGAAAAAAATATAATATACATATATATAAGTCATGCTCAGAAATATGCCATGCCAAATGCCTCGAAGTAAAATGCAAGTGCTCATGAAATGCCAAATTCAATGCCCTGAAATCTGTCAGCCGGAGTCACCTAACGTGACCTGTACGGCTGAATCTAGAGCTCAAATCTCCATCTCACTAACTATACCTGCACACGAGTCGGAACCACCTAAAATGGTCTGTACGACAGGCCTGGGTGTAATATAAGTACGCTCAAGTGCTACAATCACGTGAAGGCTGGGCGAATAATCGTGGGTCACCTACGAGTCGAAACCACCTAAAGCGGTATGTACGATAGGACTGTGCACCTAACTTGGATCCAAGATGAGCGTGTGGTGCGAGAGGTGAACATCACGTGAAGGACTGTGCCCAACTCTAGGTGGGAGCACTAACACCGAGGGTGCAGGTTATGAGCTCTCTATGTATCTAGAATCACTACTGAACGTAAATATAAATCATACTCACTTGGCACTTTCCTGTGCGTCCGCAGCGCCAAACATATATATATATATATATATATATATATATATATACAACTAATAATGCGTAAATGATGGCAAACAATAATCATGGCATATAAACGAATAAACGTTTCAAATCAATTTCTGGGAAAACATGAGTATATAGGTATATACGGAAAACCAAAAGCCCACTCACTGGTATGTAGAAGGGTCGTAACCCCCTTATCTTGAGTGACCACGCTCGTCCTCGGGATAAGTATCACCTATATGCGAAACAACTATAAAAACATTAATTTTAAAACACATAACCAACCTTATGAAATAAGTTCTCATACAATGCTCAAATGGGGTGTATGAATACACCAACGTGATCTACTCAACCTCAGGAACATCCCCATATTTTTAGAAAAAATTTTCACCGTCGCACGCGTCCCCACGCGCCGGCCACGCGCAGGCACGTGCCTGGCACGCTGACGGCGTCAGTTAACGCCGTCAAGAATATTCCGTTAACTTTAACGGATTCTGTTAACGCCGTTAGGAATATTCCGTCCAAACTGACGGAATATTCCGTCGTCTTCTCCGGCGAGGCTCTAGCGCCGGAAAATCGGGAAATTTTCAAATCGTAATATCTTCTTCGTTTTTCAACCAAATTTCACAAAATTGGTACCAAATTGAAGCTTACAACGAGAGGAACAAGTTCATACCACTTTCAAGTGCTAAAATCCATGAAATCTCGCCGGGAAAACACCACCAACTCCGGCCAACCTCGAAACTCGCGATCCCGACGTCCAAAACCTTCAAACGAACCACCCCGAGCCTCCTAAGGACCTCATCAAGCTTCCTACAAGCTTGAAATTCCCAAAAACATAAGAATTTACGTGTGCATGAACAGTGACAAAAATCGGGTATCCCGAGTTCGACGTGAAAACGAAGGTATCCTTACCTGAAATAGGTATGGTTGAACTTCTACGGACCTCACGAGCATGGATATGTGCTTTGTTTCTTCGATCTGTGAAGATTTGGGTGGTTTCTAAGTATGTCCGTACAAATGGAGGGGGAAATGGGAGAGAGAGGGCTCGGGACAGGGGGGTGCAGGGCAGGGAATGGTGAGGGTGTGTGTGTGGAAATGTGTGTGGTCCACAACCAGCCACACCAAGCTCAAAACAACCACACAACGTAAAAATCACACTAGGGGCAAAATCATCATTTCACACGTACGTTTTTAAAAATTCCGGAACGGGCCGTCAACATTCTACAAACTTGATTGATTGGGGTGATAGTGTAAAATCGGGTCCAAACAGATTCAAATTTGCATTTTTTTGTCTCTTTTAAGCTTTTTTTTCTTTTTTTTTAGCATCAAATTGAATAATCAAACAAAAACAACACTTATAATTAAACAAAAACGTGTAAGAGACTAAAATAAATATGTGTCTATTATTTCACTAATTATATTTTGATTTTTGCACTTTTTAAATTTCCGACACTACGTTAAAACACTAGAAATTATAATTTTTGTATTTCTAAATTATTACCATAGTAAGATTTAAAGATTTTTAAACCACAAAACTTGGTGAGATCGTTTAGAAATTTCGTATATGTTTTAGGTGAATTTCCTCTAAATCTATTAAACTTTCACTTATCCATTTTCAGTTTTCTTTTAATTTTGTTATTGTACTCATTCATTACAATAACATAATATTACTTTGTCCACAACGAACTGTGTCTCTCTGATTGATGGGCTCTTCAACTAACCATGGCGGTGCTCCTCAGTCTCTCTGTTTAATTAGAGCTTCGACGGCGGGGTCGTAGTCGTGGTCGTCATTCTGGGCTTGCTTCCACTGCACTTGCAGAAGCTGACCCAAAGAATTTGAGCACGGTGGAGTAAATTGCAGAGGTAACAGGGAACAAACGACGCCGTTTTGTTGTGTTTGGCTTATCAGTATTTTTGTCTCTTTTTTCTTGTTAGTCTTGAAATTGATCTATAGTTCTTGCTTAGGTAATTCATGACTTAATTTTAGATTGGGGATTTTCAGTTTGGGGGTTAGGTTTTAGGGTTAGGAACTTAGGAATTGCGGCTTAATTTGTTTAGGGTGAAATCAAAGTATTGCATTAGGACCTTGCATAATTTCTTCTCAAAAGAACCGGGAATCTGATTATTTCTAATCCATTCCTTCAATACAAACACATGTTGTTATGTTCTACCAGTTGAGGCGGCACCAGTTAATTGGGTGGTAATGATTTTTAGGTAGGTTTGTTTGGCAGATGTGGGACACGAGAATGTTAGACCATCATCCTGGTGGTATTATCTGAAGAATCGAACTTTGGTTTGGTGAAAAGCAAACAAATTGCAATGCAGAGAGAGAGAGAGAGAGAGAGAGAGTAATGAGAGAACCTTGTGAAATAAACAGAAACATAAAAGATGTAAAAAACTGAACTCAAGATATAATGTTTCTCGAGGTTATTCTTATTTAGGACAATAGGCATCACGTTTGGTTGTTTGGTTTAGTAGCTTTGGCATCTTGAAATTTTGGTGAGTATAGATCACCTTGGTAGCTGAGCATTTAAGTTATGCATTTTATCTTTTACAATCGAAAACGTATGCTATGTCCAACAGTTTAGCATTTTTCATAGGAACTGTGTCATGGAGATGGAGCCTCATAAATCATACGTGTTCTTATATGATTATCGGTATTTTCTTACTGGAAGTGAGAGAAAAATTAATTTGTTGATTTGTTTCTTTTACATTGGCAGGTGTTGCATTTGTAAAAAGTGTACTCAGTTTGCTCAGCTCGTTGATAATTTATTCATACCCAACTGGTATGAAGGTAGATTTATCTTTGTAAGGACCAAGGATGATTTTTACATCCCAAAGGCGCTTCTGCTCATCCTTGCCTTGTTTCCAGTTATTCTCCTCTCTTGTTCGTTTCCCTTCAGTTCAAATCCATCGCTCCTGCTCTTCATTCCCCACACTTAATGACCCAAATGGCGACACAAAGGACGCTAATGATGCTGACTTGATATCGAAAATCCTTGTCCACCACCATAATCCCTTCCACGCCATGGAGTCCTCTCTCCAACTCCACTGGTATTACTCTCTCCTCCCAACTTGTCCACCACACCCTCCTCCGCCTCACCAATAATTCCAAAATTGCTCTTGCCTTCTTCCACTATGCCAAGTCCCTTCCCAACCCTCCTCTCACCACGGCCTCCTTCAACCTGCTCATCAACATCCTTGCCAAGGTCCGTCAGTATGACGTTGCTTGGCAGCTCATTGTTGAAATGGACAACTTCAACCTCACTCCCACCGCTGCCACATTTCTTACCCTCATTCGTCGCTTGATCTCCTCTGGCCTCACCCGCCAAGCCGTTCGGGCCTTTGACGACATCGAGACCTTTGTCCAAACCAAGCCCAGTTGCCAAGATTTTTGCTTTTTGCTTGATACCCTTTGCAAATACGGTCATGTTAAGGTTGCAACTGAAGTTTTTAACAAAAGGAAGCACGAGTTTGTCCCCGATGTGAAAATGTACACTGTTTTGATCTATGGGTGGTGTAAGATTGGTCGTTTCGATATGGCAGAGAGATTCTTGAGTGATATGATTGAGCGCGGTATTGAGCCCAATGTCGTTACATATAATGTCTTCTTGAATGGTATTTGTAGGCGTGCAAGTTTGCACCCTCAGGAAAGGTTTGAGAAGACGATAAGGAACGCAGAGAAGGTGTTTGAGGAAATGCAGGAAGAGAGGGATAGAGCCCGATGTCACTAGTTTTTCGATTGTGCTTCATGTTTATAGCCGGGCACATAAGCCCTGAGTTGTCGCTTGATAAGCTCAAACTGATGAGGGAGAGAGGGATATTCCCCACAGTGGAAACTTACACTTCGGTTGTAAAGTGTCTTTGCTCGTGCGGGAGACTTGAGGATGCAGAGGAGCTGCTTGGTGAAATGGTGAGAAGTGGGGTTAGTCCATGTGCAGCTACGTATAATTGTTTCTTCAAAGAGTACAGGGGGAGAAAGAACAGGGAAGGTGCTCTGAAGTTGTACAGGAAAATGAAGGAGGATGGTTTGTGTGTGCCCAGTATGCACACCTATAACATATTGGTGGGAATGCTTTTGGAATTGAATCGAATGGAGATTGTGAAAGAAATATGGAATGATATGAAAGAGAGTGGAGTGGGACCGGATTTGGATTCGTATACCATGTTGATTCATGGGTTATGTGCAAAACAGAAGTGGAGGGAGGCTTGTCAGTTCTTTGTAGAGATGATAGAGAAGGGTCTTCTTCCTCAGAAGATTACTTTTGAGACACTCTACAAAGGGTTGATACAATCTGATATGTTGAGAACTTGGCGAAGATTGAAGAAGAAACTCGATGAAGAGTCTATTTCGTTTGGGTCAGAGTTCCAAAAGTATCACCTTAAGCCATTTAGGAGATGATATTCCATCGGCAGGCAACTGTAGGATGCATGCTGTGAGCAATTGCATTTTGTTTTCAAGAGATATTGCTGTGCCTTTGGCAGAGTCACATTCAACCTCAATCGTTTCGTGCCCTTCATTCCAATCATTGATTAATTCTCTATAATGATGCAGTAAACTGAGATGCTTGCAGTTTCTTGTATTTCTACATGGCCTTACAGATTAACTTTCTGGGATCTGCGCAACCCTGTCTGAACCGATCGTGGCAGAGTTTCTTGGCTCGACTACCTCTCAAGATGTGTGGCAGGCTCTTAAGAAAAATGTTCATCCGCAGATTATCACTCGGGCACTCCATCTCAAACTTCAACTTCAAACCATCGACAGGGGTAACTCTAGCATCTGTGATTACCTTGACGATATCAAAACACTTGCAGATGCCCTCGCTGCCATTCAGAATCATGTCACAGATTCTGAGCTTGTTCGCTTCACTCTCGCTGGTTTGGGTGATGGTTATGAATCTTTTATGAGGTTCATCCCTACATGATCAGTCCTTCCAACGTTTGATCAACTTCACGCACTCTTACTGAACCAAGAATATCAACTTTATCAGCTTCGCTCTCAGGCTCAAACTGCGCCTCGAGGAAATTGCGGTCTTGGATTTCTTCGTGGTTGTGGACCTTGTGGTTGTTCCTGTCGATTTTAGTGCATGCTGAAGAAGGATAGATAACAATGTACTCATACAAACAAAGCTTCTCATTTGAATAAAATGATGAGTTCTTTTGTATGTGAAAAGTTCCTTAACACCGTTTTATTGTTTACTTAATTCCTTTTCATACTTAATCGAAAAAAATGCATCTTAATCCTAATTCGTCCTTTATTTTGTTTTTCTAAACCCTAAAGCCCTAATCAGCCCTAATAACGGTGATCATAATTGGAATTGCCTAGTTTGACCTCACAACAGTGATCATAATCGAAACTAACGATGTGAGCATTTCTACTCGTCAATCAAGGCTCAATCTTATCAACGACGGAATGATTGGTGGACGACATTCATAATCAGAATCATTCATTCTCTTTATTATCATTTAAAGATCATACCTGCAAAAAATTATTCAATTTAAGATCGTTTAGTTATTTATATGTGTAAAACAAACCAATCGTTTGAGTAATATGTGATATCTTCGTAATAAACCGTTAATTTTTGTGTGATTCATATGAATTGTTAAAAAATTTCACGGCGAACCGTCCATTAAATGTTATATTTTTACATCTATCGTCGTTGACCATATAGGTATTTTATTGACGTACTTAGAATTCTGATATAATAAGGTCAAAGTCCCTTCCTCCACTTTTGAAAGACGCCTCCAGCTGCTTCTGCTGCTTCTCCTGCTGCTGCTGCTTCTTCTTTCTCCGGCGGCACATAGAAGTCACCAAGTAACCATGGCGGACGAAGATTACAACGATATGGACATCGGGTACGAGGATGAGCCAGTAGAGCCAGAGATTGAGGTAACGATCTTACTTTAATTTTGTCTCTTGCTTCTTTCAATTATATGATGATTGCTGTTAATATCTCTGATTAACAAATTGACTGGATTCATAGTTTGTATTTTATTGAAAAAATTAAAGAAATAAATTTGAAGTTGCGATATAGTAATACACTCTAGTGGTATTTAGGGTTTAGGGTCCTAGGTTTTAGTTTTGAATCTTTTGGGTTGTGAATTCAATACCAATTTATTTCCCACTTTTAGTGTAAATATCGTTGCATAAAAAATAAATATGAAGAAGAACAATTGGGTAATGGACAGGAAGGCGCAGAGGAGGTAGAGGATGCGGAGAATGCTAACGACGATCTTCCAGGCGATGCCATTGAAGTTGATGACAAAGAAGAAGAAGCACCGGTGGAACGACCGCGCAGAACATCCAAATTTATGACCAAATATGAACGTGCTAGAATATTGGGTACTCGTGCTGTGCAGATCAGGTATATTTCTATTCAGTTTCAATTTTGAATCTTTGTTGATTGATTTGAATTGGAAATTGATTGAGATTGTATGGTTTGGATGAGCAGCATGAATGCCCCTGTGATGGTTGAGTTGCAGGGCGAGACTGACCCACTTGAGGTAACATTTCCTGCACCTATATTTATGCTCGAATACTGGAATCAATCGATGCCTAGAAAGTAGAACTGTTACCATGTTAACCTGCTGCTTCACTTTGACGCCACAAAACAAGTGCTTGTGTATTGGATAGAAGTGTTACCGATGTTAACCTGCTCTATTACATGCACAAAACAAGTGCTTGCATATTGAATTTTTGTTCCGCCATTGTTTTCTTCCACATTCCTTTAAAACAACTTGTTTTTATAAATTAAGAGTTAAAATCGAAGAACGGCCAAACCTTACAGAATCCTTTTGTACTATGTGCCATTGTGTGACTGCTGGAAAATGGCCAGAAATGGTGAGTTGTGACTTGTGACTATGTGCATGTTATCTTGATATAGCATCTAACTGCAATTTACTTTGATGTTCAGTTTTTCTCTTTCTACTTTTGGCTTTCTTTGCTTCTATAGAAAGCTGATCGCCCGTCTTTCTGGATAATATTAGGATACCATCCTCTGTATATCATGTTGAGAATGATTTTCCATAGAACATAAGAAAACATATTAGTTATTTCTTGAAGCGGCAAAAGAAATTATGTTATCTAATCTGACTTGTGGGAGCTCCAATTGTTTAGTACTGTAATGATACAATACATAGGGTTCCCTTACACTACACTGGTATGACCTCGTATGTTATGATGGTGTAGATTGCTATGAAGGAGCTTCGTGAGCGGAAGGTGCCCTTCACCATTCGCCGCTACCTGCCTGATGGAAGGTGCGGTTTTGATTTTAGTTTATCTTCATTTTCAGCATTGTATTTTTGCTTTCGCATGTGTTTTAGAAACGTTTTAATCGGGTCTGAAATTTTCAGTTACGAAGATTGGGGAGTAGATGAGTTGATTGTGGAAGACTCGTGGAAGAGGCAGGTGGGAGGTGAATGATCATCATCGATGCATGAAAAATGGTCCGATGTTGGTATTTTATCAATAAATTTCCCGTGAAGATCTGCTTCTGTTGACTTGTAACATTTGTAACATTCGTAACATTTTACCTATAAACTTACATGCTACGAGACCTTTTCTATCTGTCGTATGTAAATGTTTTGATATACCGTTGAGGACATAGAAATTTAAGTATGTTTTAAGGAAGTCGAGGACATTCTTCTTTTAAAGATTATCCATGCCAAATCTGCTGAATCGACATCCCGATCATGAATTAGTAACCACATCAAATCTCCTAAAATCCTAATTGTTTCGAACTCTTTCTTTTTTTTTTTTGGAATGGAATTTTTACAGAATCCTCATGAATAGGATCAAACCTTATTCTTAAAAAAGGCCCCGAGAGGGTTTAGTTGATCCATGATTTATATTTTGTCTTTGGTTTCCTTTTCATTCCGGAACCCCTCTCATTTACGTTAAAATTAACACAGAAATTTGACATGATTTGAGCAAAGTGAAACAAAGGATAGTAGGACTGGACTTGGCAAGATGTACCCGACCCTTAAACACGACCAAAAAACCGCCGAAAATTGCGGTTTTGGGTCGGAGCTTATCGAGTCGGGTTGATAACGTTTGGATCCGTTAATTAACCTGGGACAACTAATACCAATTTATCTTCACTCTGTAATTGTTTGTTCTAATCTTTAGGTTTCTTAATTATTGCTTCTTCCTCTCGCTAGTTTTCATTCGTCAACGCTAACAAATACGACAGTGCAGAATGGGTACATTGCTCCAATGACAAAAAAAAATTGATCTGGATTGAAATTACTCAATCTAACGAGTTAGAATAAACTCCAATGGCCACCATAAACACAAAAATAAAGACGCCACTAATGCGGATCTGTCACAAAATAACAATGGACACAAGATATTTTTACAAGCGACCATACCGATCATTGCTAAAAAAAGAGACCACATAAAGTCATTGTAGAGGTGCGAGATCACATCAAGTTTAAGAGAGGGCCACCATGCATTTCTTAATCACTCTAATGAAAGTCAACTGCAATTGCTCCCGGTTGTTGTTCAATCCCCTTCAAAACAAGAATTTTTTATCATTATTATTTGATCAATCATTTTTATGTAGTTAAGGTGAAGAACTAACTAAATCAAGGATTTTGTGTGTTTTCGAGTATAGGATATTTCAGGCTTTTTAACTCTTAAATCTTAATTTTTGTATTATTAATTAAAAATGTAATAGTAAAAAACACAAAATATTTGGTACTCCTGATTTTCATAGAAAATTTTAAACCAAAATCATTTTTCTTTATTATCAATCAAATCATTTTTCCAAAATTTAAAATTCTATTTTATCGTCAATTCAATCACCGTTCAATTTTTTTTCATTTTCTTATTGATGAATACATCCAACACTGTTGATCGGATAGGAACAGAAAAATGGACTCAAACGTAGTATGTTTTGTACCTTTGTACGAAGGAGGAATCGCACCATTTGAATGTGTCAAAGGACGCATTAATTATTGAATTCATGTGGCAGGTGCTAGAACGATCGTAGTCAGAATCATTTTAAGAAGTTTTGATCAAAAAAAACAAAAAACAATTTTGAGAAGACCGATTTTTTTATTTTTTATTTTTTATAAGTAACGTTAGTGAGATTAAATTTATAGATAAAATTTACAATTAAATGATATATGACCAATAAGAATGAACACGTTTATCAACCCTTAAATTATAATTCAATCATCTTCTTCCATATTATATATCTACAAATTTAATTTAGCTAGCATTTCTCTTTTTTATACAACGATAATTTTGCAGTATAAGATAGTTAAATTTAACACGTTTTATTTACAAATAAATTAGACCATACTACAATTGACGATGGAAATAGAATAGTTAAAAACAGACATTGGCAAATGGTTCTTTAACATAGTGGTAGCCCTTATATAACGGCGTAGGTTCAAATCTCGTCGATAGCTAATCTAACATCTAATCTAACAAAATATATCATTTGACAAAAAAAAAAAAAAAAAAAAAAAAGAAGACATTGAGTATATACCTCAACTTCACAAACCCCCACCAACAATTAACGGTCGAAATGGTGGAGAAAGAGTCGAAGAAGAAGTGGAATTTTGAGGGGAATTTCCATGGAGAGCAAAAAACGGCATCACCACCAATCACAGTTCGAGGAATCCTGTACATGATAATGCGAAGTCTCAACAAAGATGACGATAGGCCAATCATTCCTCTTGGTCACGGTGACCCCTCCGCCTTCCCATGCTTCCGAACTAGTGCTGCAGCTGAAGACGCCGTCGTTGACTCCCTTCGCTCCGCCCGCTATAACTCTTACTCTCCCACCGTTGGTATTCTACCGGCAAGAAGGTATATACAAAAGTCAACTTTGATAACAATTTATTGCTACCTAATTTTTTTTTTTTTTTTTTTTAAATTCTAATTCTATGAAGCCTTGTTGTGTCTAGATTAGGCCTGTCAAACTGTTCGTGTTTGCCGTTTTTGTGTTATATCGATATGTCAATATGTCGTGTTGTGTTAAACTCGTCATCTTAAGGATTCTTAATAGGTTACCCGATATTGACGATTTGTTAACAAGTCGTATTGTTTCTTGTGGTGTTAACAAGTCATATAAGAAATTGTCATACCTAATTCCTAGATCTGTCAAACGAATATTGGGGGTCTCATCGACACTGTTGGCTTAGGCGCTTGGCAGTTGGCTACTGTCTTGATTAATTACTGGGTGTTTGAAAATTAATCAAATTAATCAAATTTAGGCGCTTGTCGGGTTAACAGTTTGAACTTTTTGAGTCCAATAGTTGTTTGATCCGTGTAATTTAATCAAATTTAGTCGCAACATATTTTGTGTTTGAAACCTCAAATCTTAACTTGATTCCCACATGAAGGTTTACGCCGCACCTGAGGGAGAGTGATGCCTTGATATGTATTGTTGATCTCTGATTTGGCGTAATTACAAGTAGTTACATGATTTATACGTATTACTTTCTGTCACGTATACATGATGTGTTTATTTATACACTTGTTCAAGTAACATTTCAAATTAATTAGTACGTACTCTCGTTACTAAATTGATGCCGGAAATGCAACGTTCAGGGCAATTGCTGGTTACCTCTCCCATGATCTCCCGTACAACCTATCACCGGACGATGTATATCTTACAGTTGGATGTTCAAATGCGATTGAAGTCATCATCGAAGCTCTTGCACGTCCGGGTGCCAACATTTTGTTTCCGAGGCCAGGCTTCCCTTACTATGATGTTCGGGCGGCCTGTTCCAATCTTGAAGTCCGTCATTATGATCTCCTTCCGGACAAGGGCTGGGAGGTTGATCTCGAAGCTGTTGAAGCACTTTCGGATGACAATACTGTTGCCATGGTGATCATCAATCCTGGCAATCCTTGTGGAAATGTATACTCACCTCAACACTTGGAGAAGGTTGGTTAATTGCTCTAAAACGAACTACTACTTGTTCGGTTTTTCTTGCTAATCTAAGGATTCTAGTCCTAATGTGTGTATGGATCAAGGTAATTCATGCGTGTTATGTTTCGTATACCACATCTCTCGTTATAAGGTTCAGGCTCCCGACAAATACACCAGTGAGACGGTTCATAATGTGGTTTGAAATAAAGATTTTAACTAAAAGATAATTACTAGTTTTGATTTTGGTGGAGTTCTAGATTGCGGAGAAGGCGAGGAAGCTTGGAATTCTGGTAATTGCTGATGAAGTTTATGAGCAGATTACTTTTGGAAGTACCAAGTTTGTGCCAATGGCGGCATTTGCAGCTACTGTGCCTGTTATTACACTTGGTTCTATATCGAAGAGATGGATCGTACCTGGTTGGCGACTTGGTTGGCTTGTCACCTGTGATCCCACTGCCGCTCTTAAAAATTCTGGGGTCTCTCTCTCTCTCTCTCTCTCTCTCTCTCTCTATATATATATATATATATACGTATGTGTGTGTGTGTGTGTGTGTATCATAATGTTGGAGTATATATGGCGTAATTAATCAAATCTCTGTTTTTTCTTTGTTCTTGTCCTCAGCTAATTGAGCGCATAACGGAGTGTCTTGAAGTTACAACTGATCCTGCAACCTTCATTCAGGTTTTGTAATCAAGTTGCTTTTTTTGCTTGCTTATTTACAGTTTATGAGCCGAATAACCAAAGCTCAAGATGGGATCATTTTTCTAACAAGCGTAGTATCTTGTTAAACCGAGCTCAAACTGTATTGTGCCGGTTTAAGGCGGTAGAGAAACCCTTGGAGACCACTATAAAACGTGAGTTACTATGCATGCAGGCAGCAATTCCTCAAATTCTAGAGAAGACCAAAGAGGAGTTCTATTCAAACATAATTGCGATTTTAAGACGTTGCGCGGACATATGTTTTGATAGACTTCAGGAAATCCCCTGCATTACTTGCCCAAGCAAACCAGAGGGTTCCATGTTTCTAATGGTAAGGGCATTACACATACATGTGCGCGTGAGTGCCCACGCTCACGCGTGTGTTTTTATGCCTGTGATTCGTAAAAGATGTGACATTTTGTGCTGCAGGTGAAGCTAAACCTCGAATTATTGGATGACATTGGTGATGATATGGAGTTTTGCATTAAACTTGCCGAAGAGGAATCTGTTGTCGTTTTACCTGGTAAGAATCAAAACTCACTAGCATGCATCAAAATCGAACACCGGATTTCAATCTCTCTTACCTGCAACAACACACCAAATCGAAGAATGTCAAAACACATCATTTCAGCACTTGATCAAACAGTCAGATCAACTACAAGGACTCAAATTTGAATCATATATTGAAGATTGCACATAAACTTCGCTGTAATTCCTCGTGGTTAACATTATTTGCAGGGGTGGCTGTGGGAATGAAGAACTGGTTGCGCGTAACCTTCGCTTGTGATCATTCATGTCTCGAAGATGGCCTTGGCCGGATGAAAGCCTTCTACCAACGGCATGCCAGGAAACATTAGTTAACTTGTTGATGGTGGTGATCAACAACTTCTCGTTGGATCCCATGCTCCGTTCGAAACTTCAAATGCTGGCTCTACCTTGAATAAATGAAGATCGATAGTTCCGAAAATTAATGTATTAGCCAGCCGTGTAATACGTATAAACAAAATAAAATCGAGGGTGGTCGGAGATCAGTAACTTCGCGTTCGATCTGCCTCTCTCATTGCTCCATTCATCTCTAGAAGATTCAAAAACATGTACTATTGATAAATTATGCAACTTAAATCTAAATTATTTGTACGGCATATTCAGTGAATTCAGAGAATTTATCATATAAAGCTAAAACTTACCATTTCAAAAATGTTAGTTTTTATAAAAACTATCAATTATAATAAAAACAATGTACTTGAATAGACTTAAATGCTGGTTTTCGTAATTTTCTTTCCCACCAAAGCCGAAGCAAATTCTTGGAATCCAGTTGCCGACAATTTTTCCAGTGATAAAGCCAAAGAATTCAGTTGCTCTGCATGCGGTATGGGTGGGTATTGGATCAAATGGAGCTTTATTTCTTTGCTAGGATAAAAAATAAAAAAAAAATATATATATATATATATATATATATATGATCAGAATTAATAGGTTCATATACACCGGTAACAATTTTTACCCAATGAATCCAGATCCATTCATCGGTCTGCAAAAGTTGCATACTTTGTTGTTGGTGAATGAATCAGCACAATTTAATACTTTTGTCTCAAGAGGGTTTAGACTTTAAGGTTTATATTGTTTTTTTTATTTTACTTGGTATTTGAGTCTTTTCGAGTGTAGATTTGGCTAAATTAGAAATTATTTATAAAAATTGACATTTATGAAATTGAGTATCAAATTTTGGCTATTTATGATAAATACTCGTGGATATAAAGAAGTATGGCTCATTCACTTGTAAGTGAGATGTTTTAGGTTCGATTCTCGTCAAAGGCGAATTTGAACCAAATTATTGCTAACCCATTGTGAAGCTAAGCTCACCCTCACCCTCTTAGTGTAGATAATATCGTTTGTTAAAAAAAAAAAAAAAAAAAAAAAGAGTAAGGCTCATTCGAAACTGTTTCTGTAAAAAACACTTTTACATGACTAGTTTGGAGTTATTTTTTTTTTCAAGCTGCTTAATAAAAGCATATGAGTGTTTAGTATATTGTTAAAAAGTGCTTTTGGCATTAAAAAAAAATGGTGATAAGATGTCAAAAAGAAAGTCTTATTAATGGTATTGTTCACCTGCCTTCAATAAAAATAAAAAAAAATTAGTAGAATGTGTAGAGCTACTTCTGCTTTTTGTTTTGAACCCATAATTTTTGTTCAGTTACCAAACATAATTAAGACCCTAACCTTTTTATGAAGATGCTTTAAAAAAAAAAAAAAATTAAGCAACCCCAAATCAGCCTTAGAAGGACTTCCAGAGTAAAAGCACTTCTATTAGAAGCGCATTGAATTTTTTAATAAAAAATCAAGTGTTTCTTCCAGAAAACACTTTTCAAGTGATATTTTTAACAAGCATTTCTATTTTTTTCTGCCAAACATGATCTGAAGCGTTTTTAGTTATGAAGCACTTTCAAACATGTATAAGTATATAATGAATGAATATTGAATAAAATAATATGTTACAGAGAAAATAATCGCAAATCACAAGCAGGATAACAATCATTTCTAAATTCACATTTTGATTTAGGTCCCTAATCAACCTAATAGTTATAATTAAACCTTATTTGTTTAAATAGTTTGGTCAAGGTCCCTAACATCATTTAAGGGATTTAACTCATGCATTTATGCATTCAATATCCCACAAATTATGAAATTTAAACAAATCCAAACAATATTGTCACAAATATAACAATTACTTAAAAATCAATAAAAGAGTAATTTGTTCTTCACATGGTTCTAGCAAAAAACAAAACAAAATAAAAAAAACCACGTATTATTAATATAGTGCAAGTAATAATATTGATATATTTTAAAACATAAAATAAACACATATAATTAGCATGGGTGCGTTCATAAAAAAATATTGGTACAAATTAAAGTAAAAATATGGGTACATATTCAAATTCAAAACTATGGGTACAAATTAAATTGAAAATATGGGTACATATTAAAATTCAAAATTATGGGTACAAATTAAAACTAAAAAAAATATTGGTATAAATTAAAAAATGGATACAAATTATAAATAGAAATATATGAAAAAAAATACTAAAAAGATTATATTTGAAAATGATTAAAAAACATTTTTAAATTGACATATAATGACTTGTAAATAATTTAATATTCAAATAATGACACGAAGAAAAGTCAAGAGACCTCGATAAAAAATAAAAAAAGAATAAGATTTTAATTAATGAGAAGAAGAAACGAGAGATGAGAACTTAATTTATCCTTTTATTTATAAAATGTAACATTTGGAGATTGTATGTGAAAGTTGCCGATTAGCATCTGAGCACCATACACTTAATTTGACAGTGAATATAAAAGAAGACATGTTAGATCTTCTTGGCATGTCTTTGGTGGAAGGCTTTTATCCTCTTAAATCCATCTTCAAGTACTGAAAGCTCCACAGCAAAAGTAATGCGGACCCAATCTTTCAGTCCAACCGTGACCCCTGAAAACCATGGGTTTTGATTCATGACTAATATTAATTTCATTCATCATGGACTTACATGCCTCCCTTGGTATAAGAGGATTAAATTGGAATAGATAAGTTATTAAGGTATGCCAACTTCAAGGTAAGCGATGGATTAGAACGGAGAAGTTTTTTTTTCATTCGAATCCTCTTCTAATTTTTTCGAAATGTAAAATCATTCTCCTTTACCTTCAACATACCTTGAATTTAAAGGATCATCCATTCCAATCAAACCCTTTATACCAAACGAGGCCACAATTATATTGATTATAAAACGATTATTTTGTAGAGAAATTGTTAATTGCAAATTAAAACATGAATATACAGTTTGTTATGTTGTTAGATTGCAACTATTATGGTGTGTAAGTTCTTCAATTATTTTTACCTGGAAGAACAATCACCGACTCCTCTTCGGCCAACTTAAGACAAAACTGTATATCATCATCAATGTCTTCAAGTGCTGAAAGATTTAGCTTTACCTGTTAATTACGATTAAGAATAATTTTAGCTCATGCATGTTTGGATTAACAAGTTTAATCTCGCATAAAACAAAGGCTTGAGATAATCCTTACCAATACAACCATAGATCCTTGTGGTTTGTTTGGGCAAGTAAGGCATGGAATTTCCTTCACCATTTCATATAAAAGATCTGCGGCTTCTCTCAAAAGGCCAATTATGTTTGAGAAAAACACATCTTTTGTTCTCTCAAACATTTGAGGTATAGCTCCCTGAAAATGATAATCAATAATTAATAATAATATTACACTTAATATGAACGATGATTTTCCAATGCAATCATGTTGAAAGATAATAATTTGCTTTGACAGTGTAATATGAGGTCTACAACGTAAACACCAGCCTTGTTACAGTAAAAAAATGTCATTAGGTGTAAGTTTGGACTGTAAACTTTGACGATAGTAGTACCTTACTTTTCTTGTAACTCAAACGTTGAATGTTAATGCCATGTCATAATCGTGAAGCATGAAGATAGACGGTTTAAAAGTGAATAACAATGATGAGTAATTCTATGACATCCACTAATAATTTTATTAAAACAAAGAGTACAAATACATTTTTATGGGTACGTAACCTAAAATTTCCCAAAATTATCTAAAGAAAAAGTTTGAAGCTACGTAAGTATTTATGCGAACATGCATGCGTACATACGGATGTATTATGTATAAATGTATGCATGCATGTATATAGGTACCTGAATGAATGTTGCTGGGTCAGTAGTGATGTCGAGATAGTTGTTAAGTGTGTCCACAATCTGCAATTGAAAACATCAATACCACAGACCTATTTAGTTTAGAAATATGACAAATAAGAACAGTTTCTTATCACGGATTCCGTTTTACTGTAACAAAAACTATCTCTTATATATTTCATTGTTTTCCCCTTTTTGCTATGGTAAAACGAGATCCGCGCTGAAAACGAGCTCGTATATATATATATATATATATACTTATATATGCGTCAATGAAGCTACTTTACCGCTCACAGAAATAACAGCATAAGAAAAATATAGGTGAAAGCAAAAATATATACACACAGACAAAACACCAGTTTGAGTACCCCAGTTTTTTCAAAGATGCCATTGGGATCATTTGTGACAATCCAGCCAAGTTTCCAACCAGGAACAATCCATGTCTTTGATATAGAGCCAAGCGTAATAACTGGTACGATGGAACTAAACTTTCCCATAGGTACAAAAGGGTTGCTGCCGAAAGCTAGATGCCCGTAAACTTCATCCGAAATTACGAAGATGCCAAGTTTGTTTGCTGTTTCTGCAATCTATTAATTTCAACAAGCACAAAGTTCATTAGAAACAAATTCGTTTCGATTAAACACTCCATCGAAAAGAAGACGTCAATCTGAGCCCTACAACTCATGCTAATTGGCCAAATGATCGATAAGTAGTTTAAATATGTCATCAAACAAATGCTTATGTTGTTCAATTGTGACATTCCAATCAAGTCGATCAATGGTCCTATACTCACACTCGAGCAACATATATAAAACAGTATGACAAGACAACATTTTTCATAGATTAAAATTGATCGAGCAAGTTATTTATGTGCACATATACCTTTTTCAAATGCTGAGAAGTGAAGACATTTCCACAGGGATTGCTAGGATTGATGATAACCATAGCGGCAGTGTTGTGATCTGCAAGAGATTCAACAGAATCAAGATCCACCTCCCAGCCCTTCTCAGGAAGAAGATCGAAATGGCGTACTTCGAGGTGGTCAAACGCTGCGCGAGCTTCGTACTGAGGGTAACCAGGCCTTGGAAGAAGAATGTTGGCACCAGGACGTGCAAGGACAGATACTATGATTTCAATGGCTTGGGTACAACCAGCAGTGATATATACATCATTCGCCGATAACTTGTTTGGTTGGTCGCGGGAGAGATATTCTGCAATAGCCCTTTTGAGCCAGAAATACAAATATACGTACACGATAAATTTCATTAGATTTTTCATTCAACAAGAAGATTCAAAAAGAGCCACTACATACTGATATAGAATGTCAATTATACGTAATGTTTGGTTCATTACATGTTCGCGATACTAAAAATATTTTCAACACTACTAATATTATTGAAATTAATAAGGGATCGTTTAATAACATTTCAATTTTGTATTTTAATTTTAATTTTTTCGTAACATTCAGAAGAAGTATATGTGAAAAAATGAGGAATAGTGAGAGATGAAAGGAAGTTGTGAGAGAGAAGTGGGAGAAATGAGTAAGATTATATGAAAACATTAATTTCAAATTGCAACATTGTTTGTCCATGTAGCCGTCTCCAGATTTCGTTCATTCTTGTACTTTTGATTTTGTTTGCGATGTTTAGGGTTCTTTTGATAAATGCTTTGATTTTGGAACCAATCATTTGTAAAACTGCAAGTTAATTCTAGAAAAGTACTTATGCTTATTGTAGGAAGTACTTCAAATACTTTTAGAACAAAAAAACATATTCTCTAAAAACGACCTTAATCATTTAAAAGCACCTCCAAAACGAGCTGTTTTTCAAATTCCAAATTTCCACCCCTCCAAAATTCAAAATGTTCAGCTCCACTGAATGACCCGCGATCCTGACCTTACACCATTAGGTATTCAGCCAATAATAAGGCCATACGTTGAAAAATTAACATAAATCATTATTTTATTAGAACGAAGCACGACACCATTAGGTATTGATACAAGTCACGAAACTTTGGAGTTGCAATGATGAAATGCAAAGTAGCACACGCGTCTCTTCTCTCCAACAGATTCTTTTCGGATCTTTTTTTTTTTTGTGAGGATTTGCAAATTTGTTAATCGTGTTCGTTAATTTATGTATAAATTTTCATCAAGTATTGTTTATGTTCAATTTTAAATAAAAAAATTTAAGATAATATCACGATGTATAATAAACGAACACAATTCCTAAATTTTTGAAATTCTCACTAATAGCATCAAAAGAGAATCCGGATTCCTCTTCTCCACCTTCGTCGTGCACATGGTACAATTTAAAATGTACAACAAATCCAAATTATATTTGACGGTGTCAAGACATATAAATTGTACTGTTCGATGTATTTTGTTACAATATGTGGGGTCACCACTCACGAGTGGCTGTCCCTGTCAGATTCCTATGTAATATGATATTATATATGTGAACTCCGGAGTGTGACAAAACATGCAAGTGGCCCATTGTTTGTTTTATTTATGATATTAATATTTATGTTGATATCTAGTTCTTACTTTTGACCATAATATATTGATGTCAGACTATGAGTTTAATACATTAAACTCAAGAATTTAATATATTGATACTGCCTTTAAATTTTTTGACCAAAAAATATAATTTATACGTGAGTTCAGTATATTAATATCACACTTATATTTTTAAGTTCAGTGTACAAGGCCTAATGTCACATCCCGGTCCGGGCGGGACCACTTCCCGGGCCTGCTCCACCATCGTAGCACGATATTGTCCGCTTTGGGCCCTAACCACGGCCTTACGGTTTTGTTTTTGGGAACTCACACGAGAACTTCCCGATAGGTCATCCATCCTGGGAGTGTTCTCGTGCGCTACTTACTTAACTTCGGAGTTCCCATGGAACCCGAAGCCAGTGAGCTCCCAAAAGGCCTCGTGCTAGGTAGGGATGAGAATATACATTTAAGGATTGCTCCTCTCAGGTGATGTGGGATGTTACACCTAAGGCTTATCAAAATGAAACTATTATATATAAGGAAAACTAACGAAAAATTCAAAAAAAACTTCTCTGATATATATTAGATGTAGATTTTTCCCTCTCCCTTTTATTTTTCCTTCTCCTCTCACGGTTTTTTTTTTTCTTTTTCCTTTCTCTATAAAAATAAAATAAATAAAATAAAATCTTGAACGTTCAAATAGGAGATAAAGAAGAAAAAAAAAAAAAGGAAAGAGAATCCTTATATATTAGCAATTAGCACCAAATCACCAACCACTTGTACATATGAAACTGGGGTCTCCTAAACAAGCCAAATAGCAAACAGAACCCCATTTTTTATTATTTATTTATGTATTTTTCTTGGGACGCTTTAGATGCGGTCCCTAATTACCAATGTTATTTCATTGAAATCTTGGTAGTTTTTAGTTTTTGATCAAAATCCCTGATATTATAATGTAATAATGTATTTATATGTAGGTTATTATATTTTTAAAATAAAAATGAAATTTGTAGTTATTTATATTAATGAGATTTTAAATAAAACCCATATTTTATGGGATTAAAAATTTAAAGATGAATTATACTCTCCAATATATTGTGTGTATATACATACACACACACACACACACACACACACATGTGTACATTCATCAAAACTAAACAAAAAATTATTATACCAAAGCATGGGTATATTTTTCAAAAGCACAAAAAAAAAAAATATATATATATATATTAGCCTTAATAACATTATTAAATTCCTTACATTAAACTTGACATAAATACATTCTTAAATCAACGAAATAGAATGTACCCATATAAGTTTGAAAATAGATCAGAGAAAAGATTGAATGAAATTTTATATAAAAAATGGGTACATTTTAAATTAAAAAAGGTACATTTGTAACAAATTGGTAAATTTAAGAATGGATACAATTGCAATTTTTTTTATAAAAATTTAATGGGTTCAAACTTATTCTAATTTATTTTTTTATTTGGGAAATGTTTGAATTGAAAATTAATTAGGAGTTTAATAAGGGTGTGAGTATTAAAACTCTAAAACAATTACTAATTAAAAAATAATAATTATGTAACTTAAATGTAATTCATTAATATATTAATGTTAGAAACTTTGATTAAATTTTGAAAACTGATAAGATCTTAGTCAATGAACATTAGAAACTAATTAAGGACTAGAAACTAATTTTTCCATTTTTCTAATGCAGATATTTTTTCTGATTTTCTGTGTTTACAAGTAAAGTTTGTAAACAAGGAAATGGTGCCATTGAATTTCTTAATATTGGCTAGAAATACATGCAAATATGAGAAAGGAAATTAAAATAAAAGCAAAACGAACGGAAGAAAATGAAGCAGAAAATTAAACTTCCAGTAAGACTAAACTAAACAAGTGCATACAAACATACCTTCTTGCCGGAATAATACCGCCGGTAGGACAGTAAGAGTTGAACTTGAAGGAATGGAGGGCATCTGCGACGGCGTCAACAGCCGCCGGAGTGGTCCAAAACGATCGGAATTCAGTGGGGTCCCCGCGGCCAAGCATAATGGTGGGCCGTTGATCATCACCAGCTGGGTTCTTGAGATTTTTCATTAACATCGTGAGAGCTCCTCGGACGGAGATCGACGCCGTGTTCAGTTCTTCGTTCCCTCGGAATTGCCATTTCTTCTGCCAGCCATTCTCCACACCCTCCCTCTCCATGCCCTAGCTAACTTTTATGTTGGTGGCTGTTGGGCTTATAACTCTCTAAGTGAAGGATGATAACACTCTACAACTCTCCACCATATACAATTCTCCATCTCCATTACTCTCCTTTAGAGAAAGTCTTAGGTCTAGCATCCGGACATGCGTGTCCGTGCGAATGTTAGAACCAAAATCCTCTCATGGCCCACCACCACTTCTTTCGAAAACACATCACTACCTCATGTAATGACCAGATCTAGGTCCTTTACACAAGAATTTCTTGACCTAAAAATTTAACACGTGTATAAAATAACCATGGTTAATCTTCCAACGTAACAATTCCCTTCGTAGTAGTTTCCGAAAAAAAAAAAATTCCCTTCGTAGCGGTAAATAACAAGTCTCTTGTGGTGGAGATTTTTTTCAAGTGTCTGGTATCCAAACGGATACTCCGCGTGTCATAAAATAAGTGGAAGAACATGAAAAAATAAATCTTTTTTTCCACTTGTATTAATGCATCTGAAGTATTGTTTGAATACTCGGTACTTAAAAAAATCTCATTGTGGTGACCTAGTTCGAGCTATGCTTAATTTTCAGTACCATCACTTCTCTTTTGCTGATTCCTCATTCCAATTTTCCCCCGAAAAGGCATTCTATAAAATTTTTGTGTGTTAATCTTAGTTTATTACCCTAAAGTTTATTGATTTTCAACATTTTGATACATCAAATTTTTTTCGTCCCAGTCTGATATCTAAAGTCGTAATTCTAGGATATTTTCATACATATGTTAAGTTTTCCGTTAAAAACTCTGTTGCTGATGACATGGCGTCCAAGTGGACAATGATTGGACGCCATGTGTCAATATGGGCCCACAAAAATATTAAAAAATTAAAAAAATTAAAAAAAAAGGCAAAAAGAGAGAAGATAATTTCATCTCCACACTCGCTCCTACCTAACCACATTGTCCGCCTCCTTCTTCCTGTCTCACTCCCCAAACCCACCTTCCAATTCCCCTTCAACCCCTAATTAAAATCCTACCCTCACCCACCGCGCCACCCACAAACACCCCTTTGCCGCTATCAAAGCCCCAGAAAAGATCGAAAAGCTCCACCTCAAGAGGATGATCGTCTCCGACGAAAACCTCGAGCTTCTTTTCAAGTCATTCCCCAATTTCAGGTCTCTACCTCTATCCACACACTTCTCACCCTCTCTTTCTTCTCTGTGCAGATAGACTTAATTGTATGAATCAAATTCGAAAATTTTGGATTTTGATTTTGATTTAGGGTTTTGGAGAATTAGAGCTAACAAATATATTGGGAGAATGTTTGTGTTTGGAGTAGATGAATGGAGGAGAAGAGGTAAGGGTGGGGGGGAGTCGACGAGGAAAGGTGGGTTCGGCTGATTGGATGCTTGCGGCGGTGATGTGACGAGGGGGAACGGGTGTGTCACGATTTGCAGTTGCAAATGGCGGGTCAAAAGAAGATGAAAGAATCTACACCTTATCTTAACACTCGGACGAGGGATTTTGGCAGAATAGGAGAGGAAGCTGAAATTAGATAGGATTTTTAGGGGGCATTTTGGACGGCCTGGGCAGCCAAGACAGTGCGAGGAAGACGATGGAATTTTTTTATATTTATGTGGGCCCATATTGACACGTGGCGTTCAGTTATTATCCACGTGGAAGCCATGTTATCAGTTAACAGAGTTTCTGGTGAAAAACTTAACAGATGTATGAAAGTGTCCCAGCATTATGACTTTAGGTACTAGATTGGAATGAAAAAAACTTGATGTATCAAATATTGAAAATCAATAAACTTTATGGTAGTAAACTGAGATTAACCTAATTTTTTATTTCCCTAACTTTATTCAGCTTTTTTTCACAGTTTTGGTTGAAAAAAAAAGCCAAAAACAAGAAGCTGCAAAACTCAGCTTTGAAAAACTGGTTTTTTTTCACATCTGTTTTACATAAAAGTTTACCAAACACTCTAATACTGCTTTTTTTTTTTCAAAAGCACTTTTACAAAAAAGTTTACCAAACACTCTGCTGCTTTATTTCACAGCTGCTTATTCTCACAGCATAACAGAAGCAGCTTTTTTTCAAAGCACAACAATACCAAACCAGCCCTTAGTCTGATGATGAAGGGTCATTGGAAATTGAAACTTCACCAAATTCACCTTTTGTTCTACAGGTTCTTCAGTGGCGGCGGGGCTTCAATTCGTGGTAACAGTTATGTTTTAGGGTTTTGGTTGTCTTGGGTGTGCAGGCTTGGATGTAGGTTATACTAGATACTGGTGTTATGGATTTTTTTTGGTTGTTAGTTTAGTTTTTGAGATGTTTTTACAATTATATGAAATTCGTGTCTAATACAAGTTTTTTATGTACTATTAAAATTAATTTTATGTATATTGTTGTTTCGTAAAAAACAAAACAATCTTCCTTATTAATTTGAATCTTTATGAGAGATAATACAATAAAATCATTAGAACCGAGATGGAGAAAGCTTGATTCGAATCACATTACATAAACTTTTTAATACATTTCATTTATAGAGGATTATTACATAAAATAATTCACTTAAACTGCAAAATGTGAAATAATAATATAACGTGACATAGTACCAATACAAAAAAGTGGCAAACAAACGACACATTCACTTCCTCCTGTTGAAGTTCACGGCCCCACCATCCCCACTGTTAAAATTCAAATGTCCCTAACGGCTACATTAGAAAGCTCAATCACCCCATTGCCATTTTCAAGAACCAAGAAGTAACCCAAACTCAAAACCCCGAAAAACCAAAAATCTTTTCCATAATCTTTTAATTAAACCCAGAAATCTTGCACTTGGAATTAAACCCATAAATCCTTTGATCCCGAAACTGCTATCTTCCATTGAAACCTAATCTGATATGATGGATTCAATAGCTATATCGACATCAACGACAACACCGCCTTATCACCACTATTCCTGATCCGAGCTGCCGTCTTATGCCAAGTTAGCCTCACGCCTTGCTCACATTGAACATATCCCTCACTTATCTCTCAGCCTCATTTAATCATCACCCAAGATGACTCTATCCCCTTCCGCTTATTCCCGCAAATTTTCTGAATCGCTGCCTTTCCACGAGCTACTGCTTTTTTCGTCTCCACTTGTCCAAAAAATATCCAAGATCCGTCTTATGGATCGTTTTGAAATGGCTGATGACTTACTGTCAAGGTTCTAAGGCTGCACCATAGGTGCAAAAGCAGAGGCTCGCAGATGAGACTACTGGGCTGTGACTCGCCGAGGAACACTCGGAGGTTGCGGAGGTGTTCAGAGACTGAGACTTAGGAAGAGAAAGATTCAGGCTTGGTGGAGGAGAAGGAGAAGCCGAGGAAAAGGCGGTCTAAGAAGGAAAAGCCCGTCTTGGTTCCCTGTTTGCCCTCCCCAAGTTCGTCATCAAGTTCGTCTTAATTTGACATTGATGTCTTCTTTTTTCATTATTTTGTCTTTTTAAATTCTTGGGTTCTTATGTTTTCGCTGTTTGGTTTTGCAGTCAATGATGAGTATTGGGGTAGCCTTGATCGAATTGGGCAGCTCATGAGTGATCTGATTATGTGGAGAGATGTTGCAAGGTCAAGCCTTTGGTTTGGTTTGGGGTCTCTCTTATTCCCTTCATTTTGCTTTGCCAAAGGAATCAACTTTAGATGGACTACTACAACTACTCCTTATTCACTTTCCCCCCATTTTCCTATGTTAATTTTAGCCTATGAAAATCATCTAATTTTAACCAATTCAATTATTTCAGCATTTTCTCAGTGATTTCCCACATCGGACTTTTGTTTTTGGGTGCTTCATTTGTCTCGAATTCAATTTGCCAAAGGTACTAGTGGTTTCCCTTTCGGCTATTCTTTTCTTTGCTTTGGAGGGCTTCATTTGTCTCCAAAGCTTCTATTTCGGATTATGATTTGCAGAAATAATATTGAAAAGTAGCGTGATTTTATCCTCAAAGAAGATGACATTCTTGGTGTAGCCAAACGGATACTTCCTGCTGTAAATCTTGCCCTATCAAAGATGAGAGCGCTTTTCTCAAGAGTGACATCCATGACCCTCAAGGTAATGAAAAACAAAACACTAAAGCAGTTTTTGGATTTGGATTTGCTTGCTTTGAGCAATTAGCAAAGTTCAATTTTCGGGTTTTATGTAACACCATTCTTTCTTCTGGGAGCAGAGTATGAGCATCTTATAACACTCTGGAGGCTCTGTTTGCTTGGTATGTTTGTTGTTGATTATTTTTCGTTGCCCTACTTGTTCCATGTTACCATAATCATGGTGCTAATTGTGTGAAATGATGGCTAGCTTTTTTTATCAGCTTCACAATCCCAAAACTATACTTATGCTACGCCAGTCAAATCAACCAAAAAGGTATCCATAATTCACCAGTCTACTTATCCACTTCAGTCTGTCTTTATAACTCATCCATCCAGCATGTTAAATCGAGTGTAATTTCAGTGGGTAGTTGATTGATGGTGGGTGTTGGAAGCATGGGGGGCTTGCTCACACAAAAATGTTGTAGCACCATTAGCAGCCACAGCTTTTTGGAATCTGTCTTTTGTCAAAACCCGTATTTTTACAGGTAATTTTATTGCACTGCATAATGTTTCTGTCTTTAGAGCAATCATCTTACGCTAATGCCAACGAAAAACATACCTCACTATCATATGTTTTGCTTTAATTTGTAACCTTTGTAATCTTATCATAGTTTGTTAATTAGTGATCAATAAGATGATCAAATTACAAGATACAAATGCCAAAGAAAACCATACCTCACTGTGATTGACAGTAACTGTTGATTCTTATGTGATATGTTGTTTATTACATTTGCAGCATTTGTACCTCTTGTAATTCTTTGATACTATCGCCAACATAGGGAGCAACCGCTGGAGATTGGGTAAGCAGAATCGGAGCAGGAGCAGCACCAGGCATTAGTGGTAGTAGTTCCTGAAGTGGTGGCAAAAGTAGACGCAGATGGAAAACAAGAATAAAAACATGCATTAGTA